GTTGCAGGTCAAGCGGAGATTTTGAATGGGAGTATGTTTGCCATGGTGGTTCTCCACTTGCTCAGGTCTCTTCAGCTCAGCCCTGTATGGATTTTCTTGCTCCACTAACAGACAAGATGGTGGGAAGGAGTTTTAATCCAAATCCAATCAAAATAATAATTTTTGGATAATGTTACAGAAGTTTTGTCTATCCATTTTGTGGTTTTAATTATTTTGCATAAACATACTGCATAAAAAAGATATAAGTTGTCATTTAGTCACTTTCAAATACCTGATGGTTAGGTGAGGTCCTCAGCCTTAAACATCTTCATTCTGAACACCACACAAATCACACTGCAGACAGAAAAGTGGTTCTTTCCTATTATCTCTGATGAAAGCTTACCAGCAAACACACATGACTGTGAATCTACCTCACTGAGTCTGTCATTTTATCATTGTCCCTGAATCTGCCATTAGACAAGGTCAGGTTTAGAGGCAATGGTCTAGTGCCACTGTGTTTTTCTCATGTATCTTTTCAGTGCATGGAGAGCTCTACTACTACTACTGTCAGTTAGTGCTTTTAGTATGTTTATTTTGACTTTTATTTGACAGTGTGAAACAAGCTGAAGCTTCAAACCACTAGCTACATGACACTAAACATTAACGTAAGAAACTTGTAGCAGAGCTATCACAAACAGAGCTGAGATATTTGTATTTCAGTATTACAGTGTACCCTGGACTAATGATTCATTTGAAAAATGGTGTGGAAATTTGCACCATTTACAAAATTTACAGGTTTTGGCGTCTCATTTCAAAATGTCATTTGCCTCTCTTAAACTTCACGTCACCCTCCCTGCTGTTAACAAGGGGTATGAAATGAAGCTTTTCCTGCAGGCAGGCGGAAGCTTTTTAGTTGACTGGAGACTTTAAGACATGATACAAGGCTCAACTATCTCTTTTTAACTTCTTTTTTTCTTTGTCTCAACCAAAGAACTATAACTGTTATAGACATGTTGTCACCAGATGTTCTACCATCATAAGGAGCTCCTGAGATTAGTGTGTCAAAACCTTGTTTCCTAAACCACATAGGACAGGTCATGAAGTGGTGTATCTGCACTGCCTTAAATGAGAAATGCGTTGTTTGGCCACAGCAGCTCACTTAAAAAATAGGTCATTTTTCTCTCCATTTTATTTCCTCCCAGCAGGGGAGCTTCTGGGTATAACACTCGGTGTATCAGATAGCAATGGCCCCTGTTGAAAGGTGAGGACAGAATATTGTGTTTTGGAGAACGCCGTCATTGCCTTTGGCCTCTGCCTCATTCTACCACGGCATCTTCTGGGAATGGGCCGAGCTCGGTGCTTGTTTACTTGCTCTTTGTTTTTCCTGTGCAGGCTGAATCCTCTGAATCCCGCAATAACCTAAGAATATGAATGCTAGACTATTGATTGAACACTGCCTCTGAGCAAGTAATATCATTGTGTGTCAGCTAGGTCTTTTTTCTGATATCTTTATTTTGTCATCTTGTCTCTCTCTCTCTCTCTCTCTTCGCGCCTCACTTCAAATTCTGACTCAAATCAGGTTTATGAAGTATGCATAAATTATGCCTCAATTGTCCTGTGTGTGTGTGTGTGTGTGTGTGTAGGAAAGAGAAAGCAGTACAGAGACTGTCATGTGTCCATGTTTTTGCTGTTTCTGGGTGTTTGTGTTTGTGTGTATATGTGTGACTATATGCGTGTTCTGAGTAATGGGCTTTGTGCATCCTCTCTCGCTGACGGCCAGGATGTATCCATGGCAACGCCAGGTCGATCCTAGCTGTGAGCTGGTGAGAGGGACTTGAAAGGGAGCGTTAAACCTCTCCTCTCATCTGCCCTGTGCTCTTCTCACTCTGACCATGGAGAAATGCGTGGCCTTGTTGAAATCCCAGCCCCGGGGCTGTATACTGTAGCTGTGACCGTGGACACACATCACAACACTGCCACCTTTTGACCTAATGCAAAAATGTACCCCCTAAAATATTTTCATATTGGGTTTTTTTATTTCCTGCAAGTTCAGGGTTCATCTGTGGAGACAAACACACAATTTTCCCTGAAAAGCACCAATACAAAGGAATTTCAGGATGATGGTTTACCTTTTTAGGGAGTTTTTAGGGAGCTGCTAGGAGAGAGATGACAGAAAATGAGGGGAGAAGGAAAAAATGAACAACATGCAACAAAGGTCCACAACTGTACTTGAATCGGAAACTGGTTAATAGTCAGTGCCTTAAGCGCCTCAACCACCAGGGCAACCCCTTTAAAGATGATTTTACCAAGAAGTAAGGAGTGCTAGAGCTGTTTAATTCATTCAGGGTAATTTCATGGGTGTGAATTCACATTTCTTGTTCAAAAGGTGTTATGAAGAAATGTTCTTTTTAGGTTTAAGACAATTTGCTGTTAATTTAAAAGCCCAAAGCAATTTTTTTTTGAATCACCAAAATCAATAGCTGTTTCACTGCCTCTAATTTGTAGCTTTTTCACCCTTTTTTTCTGCAGCACAAAAGCTGCTTTTTAAAGTTTTATTTTGTTCCTTACCTGTGCCAATTCCTTTATTAAAGACAAAACATCATCAAAAATATGCACACAGAAGAAAGTAGTGTGACATACAAAAGGCTGATAGAAATTACTTTTTTCTTTTTTTTTACAGTTCAATCTCGAAATGTTGCCTTTCAAGTCATTTGATGCTTTGTCATGGCAGTTTCAGCCCCTAGGAGAGACTACAGGATTAGATGTGCTGCTGCTGCCCCCTAGTGGATATCAGTATGCATGATGAGGCAGAGTGATCATGATTTTGAAAGCGATGAGTAATGACGGGGAACGGGTGAGGATGAAAAGACATAAAAGGAGAGATAAATGGGGAAGAATGGAGCAAAACAATCATGTTTGGTTTTGGATTAATCTCTTGAAAAAGAACAAAGATGCCAAAACAAACACAGATTTATTGCAACCCGGTGTGCATCAATAAATTTGCACTGACATTGTAATTAAGATATTTTGGCACAAAGTACATGAACCTAATCATCTGATTTTATTCAAAGGGTCACTGCACTGCTTTGGACTGTTTAATTTCCTCCCCAGCAGTTTCACAACTGGCCATCTTGTGCCAAATCTAAGATGTGCGTATGTGAATATTCATGCAGTAGTACCTCTCAGAAAGCCTAGGGATTGCAGCTGAGGGAGCTCTGTGACCTTCTTGTTAGGTCAGGCCGGATGCCGGAGGCTATCTAGTGATCACTAATAAATATTCAAGAACCAGAGGCTATCAGGCGCTGCTGTTAAGCAGGCTCCAAGATAGAGCCGGATCAAGGCCAAGCCACAACTCTTTTGTTTGCTCTGTTATCGTCAGCAGTTTTTTTTTCTGTGATGGATAATCTTCACAGCTGCAGCTAAACACATATTGACTGATTGAAGTCTGGTGCCTTCTCACCCTCTCACTTGATATTAGAGTTTCCCTGAAATGAAAACACACCGGCAGGTTTTTTTTATGGTTTAAAAGCTCAACACAATGGATCGGTTTGGGTAATGTGTTTTCTATTGGTTTTACAGGTTTAATGTGGCTGCTCCTTATAGGTATCCTGTGGTATCATTAGCTGTAGGTTTTATTGTAAAGAGTGCTGTCACCCCTTTAAATGCATCTAACGTTTCATTTTGTGGCACAATCATGTTTCTGAAAATAATCTCAGCAGTCTAATGGAGGTGGATCAATACAGATGGATCGGTCTCTTACATTTCCTTTTCATATCACAACCAACACCACCTCTGGGAATCTGGATTTATCTCCATATTCAATAATGAGAGTATCCATTTAAGATGTTTTTTTTCTTCTCGCCACTACTTGTACATATTTGGTTTCAGTTAATCTGCTTGCAGCTATGTGGAGAGTTTTGTAATTTGAAGGAGAACTGTTTGTAAATTGAGCCATTTAGATTGAATTAACAATGAGCAAATGGAAGTCTTGATTAAATTCCTTGACTATTCTCCTTGGTGTTTGCTCTGTTATGGCTTATTTCTTGATTAGGCCTTACACATGAACTTAATATATCCTCTCTGTGAATCTACTAAAAGTACACATCTTATTTGGTGTCGTTTTCCATACTTTAAAACTCATTGTGAGAGCAGATCTTGTAATAAAAGCATTGCATGTAAGGTTGGCATATTCCAGTGTGTGTATCTCTTCCAATTGCTCATCTGTAGTCATTTCAATAACACCTAAGTATTATTTGCATTTGATTACACAACTGTGCTGAGATCATTGTCTTTTCTGGGGGAGGAGTGAGGTCACACTAAATCGTAAAATCAGCAGAAATAAATAGCCTGTTTAGTGCTTTTGCCACTGTACACTGGCTATCGTTCTCATACATTTCCTCTCTTCCACTGCGTCAAGCCTCGTATTCTTTTTTTTTTTTTCCTGTAAACGGTGAAACTCTGCCCCGGCACTGTGACCTGTAGCTGGGCCCTGCGGGAGTATTCTGTGTCCTATACTCCTTATGGCCTCACCTTCTTTCCCCTCCTCCTCCGCCTCCTCCTTCTCCTTTTCTTCTTCTCCTGCTTCTTCTACTCTTTGGAAATTGCTCTAAGGGATGGATCTGCCCCTGAGACACAAGGACAAACCCAGGCAAGGCATCTCAGTTCAACTCAGAATAGATGAATGGCGGAGAGGGGAGTGTGTGGTTTGCTTTTTAGTTTGTGCTCTTTACTTCAGGTTATGTTTTGACCTTGTTTTGGACAGTGTGTGTTTTGATTGGATCAGTATTTGATTGAAACCTAACTTTTAGGGCCAACAAACGTTGCAGAATTAATACTCTCTAGATGTCTTTTATTGTCTTATTGATGGTTTTGCGTCAGTATAGCCAGACTTGATCAAGCTCAGCACCACTATTCTTCTTGAAAGATTTCCTTGCTTCAGGATTTCAGACTCTTTGACTGTTTCAGGACTGGCCCTTTGGCTTCTTATCTGTAAGCATTGTTAAACTATCCCTCCTGCCACCATGCCGGTCCGGATCATGTGCACCATCTCCTTTTCTGCGGACGACGAGCCCGGCAGAGGATACGGTAACGACAGTTTTGATGACCACTACAAGCGGGTGAAGAAGAGTTATGGTGACAGGGACTCGCAGGAATACCTGGATAGGTGTAGTCAAGTGGATGATTACAATGAAGAGGAGGACGAAGTCGGTGAGGTGGACGACCTGGCCGCTTTCTTCGGTGGTTGCTCGCTCCATGGAGCCAACCACGTGTTTGTAGAGGACAAGAAGTTTGGTATTCGCCAGGGTTTGTGGGCAGTGGTCTTCACCATGGCCCTGTCTGCTTTCTTGTTCCAGGTAGCTGACAGGATCATATACTATCTCCAATATGATCGAATCACATTGCTTGATGAAAATGTGGCCAACAACATGACGTTTCCGGCTGTCACCATATGTAACTACAACTTTGTTAGGAAGTCTCAGATGAGCTACAGCGACCTGATTTTCATGGGCCCTCTGCTGGGCTTCGAAGAAGGCATGGCACCGGGGTTTCCGCTCGCCCCAGAGCCGGACCGCCAGCCGGGCTCTCGTTTCACTCTGGATGAGTTCTACAACCGCACTCGACACCGCATGGAGGAAATGTTGCTGGAGTGTAACTTCAGAGGTTTAGACTGTGGCGCAGAGAACTTCAGAGAGGTAAGTTAGACATCACAAGAAATATGTTTCGAAATAGTTTCAAATGTTTGATCTTTCTGGGAACCAGCAGACTCTAAATTGGAAATCACAAGTGCAAGTTGACACTGAGTATATTGAGGTATTTTATATGTGTCTGGTAGACTTGATAGTTGTGATTGATAAGTAACATCAATATGGTTATCTGAAATTGAAAAACAGATATAGAGAGGAGGCTTTTATATTTTATCAAGGAGTATCTTCTGGTTCATTGTGATGAAATGAAGACATCCAATAAAACCTAATACTAAAAACTAAATTGCAATGCCATTATAGAAGTCCTCCTCACGGATGAGGACTTTGTAGAAAATCACTGATACGGAAGAAAGAGTTTATTTATTGCAGTGAGGTAATTCAGTTACTTGCAGTCCCAAGTCATTGCTGTAAATAAAAATGTTTTTCTAAGTCAGCGTGTCTGCTTTAATGAAACTCCATTGTAAATTTAAAAAAGAGCAGACATAATAAAATCAGGTTCCATTACTTAAAGTGGCACACTTGGCATACAGTTGTTGTTATTGAATTAAACGAACACTGAAGGAATCTTTGTGTTCCCCAGAAGAAACATAAGAAGAGCCTCTTTCTAGACACACATTCCCTGAATTTCTGGTATTTTTGGTTCCGTGTCTGCTGCCCCGTCTTCCCTTGAGTGCGCACATCAGACAGCACATGAGTGGAATACTGAATTATCAAGAAGTGTTTACAATATCCAGCTATTGGTCTATTGATTTGCTTGACCTTTGCACAGTTATGGATAGTTACGTGCAGACTGCTAATGGATGTGCTACAGTTACATGAGCTGCAATTACATCAGTGTGTAAATGCATGTACTTGACACGCGATTCCCATTTAGATTAACTAGATGACATGATGTTTTCATTAATATACAACTTATTTTTATCATTAATTATTGCAGTGTAATATCAATATTAGTAATATAGCAGTAGTGGAAGTTGTCTGTACCAATGACAGTAGTTTAGTAGTCTAGTGGCTAATAATTAGTCAATCAAAAGAAAGTAATGTAACTTTTTTGATTTTGAACTTTTTTAATTTATCAATGAATTAATTGATTAATTAATTAAAATACCAAACAATTACTGGTTGTGGCTCCTTAAATATCATTATATTTGCTTAATATCATGAGACTGATACAGAAGCATAAATGTAATTTTATATTCTAAACTTATTTACATGTCACAAGGTTAAATAAAAAGCATAGGAAGACAGAGTGACATGACTTTAAACATTAAACGCCTGTCTTAACAGGTGATTTTTCATTAGGGATTTCACAGCGTCAACACTAAAAGCAACTCTGACATTATGGGGTTGGGAGCTTCTGAAGCAGAGGGCTGCATCCTGTCAAACACATGAGTCGGAGTTTGGGGAAAGTGAAATGAAGGTCTTGGATGAGGAAAATGTGGAGGTGAGAGTGGTTAAATGTAAAGAAGAGCATGTTTTCTTGCACCAGGGCAGATCCCCAGGTGGAAAGGCAAATAGTTAAAATCTTAGTGAGGGTTATTTAGTAAGTACAGTGTGTGCAAGCAGGATGAAAATAATGATCCTGTGCTGAAATAGAATCTGTAATGCCAGTACAGAAGAATATGATATAGAGAAGAACAGGAAGAACATGTTGAAGATTAAAACTATTGTCTCCATCATAGGAATAGAGAGGTGTTTTTGACTTGAAGGAATTATCTTATTAACACAATTTACACATTTACTGTCACTGCCATACACTTTGCACTCTTTGCACAAAAATGGTACAAAAAGACATCAGGACTCAATATTAACCACAAAAAATAGAGAGCAAAATGTTGCTTTGGCTGCAGGCTGTAAATCTTACTCTACATATTTTGTGGTCAAGTTTCAGTTTCTTACTCAAGCAAAAATCGAAAGGTCGGGCAATAAGTATCACAAATGAGAAAGTGGGGTATATAACCGATGTCCTTGAGGTGAAATAGGGCCAGCTGTCATCTTCCGTTGATATGCGCTTTAAAAGACAAAGTACTGTGACTGCAGTGCAGTCTGGCATTTTATTATCATGTAAGCGAGGCAGTGACCAGGCTTTATTCAATGAAAGACATTACTGCCATGAACTCATTCTTGCTTTCATAATGTCTTACTTTGAATTAAATGGGCTGCTCCTTAGATCACATTATCATCTTGCACACCTTGGTGAAGCTGTGACAGACTCTTGCATTTAAATCAGTAGCAAGCATGTCGTTATAAATCCAATTATCTTCAAGTAGTCCATCATAGATAATTACAGAATAGATTACAGAGTTAGAATATGTTGTGAAACATTGTCTTTCCTCGTTTCTTACACAGCACTCATACCATACTGTTTCAGTTATGCCTTAGGCAGCTTTTTTGATAGTAAGATACAAGTAGCATATAGTATTTGCTATATATATGTTCAATATCTGTTAATACCTCTGAATCAGCTTTAATGCTGTATGTGTATACATAGAAGGGACTCAATGCTCTTGATGTACATACACACAGTTCCAAAAAACGTACGTGGTTTTGTAAAAAGAGGAGAAAAACATTGTGAGTGAAATGATCTGAGCATGCATGCCTGCACGTTTCAGGTGTAATTGTTGCTGCAGCAAGGTTAAAGACCTGACTAACACAACTGACAAGTAATCATTTCTTTGTCAGGTCTAATAGTACTAATTAGCCGTTGTCAATTTAACTTGAACCCTTCTGTGTAACAGCCTCCCACTGATATAATCATTGATTGTTCCTCCAGCTCATGCACCTCCATGCAGCAATTATAAACCAGTGCTTTCTCATTGGTTTGTTGCTTTGTTTCTAAGGCAAAAATAGAACATGTTCTGTGTTGCCTTGAGAAAGTTCAGGAACAAGTTTTGATAACCAGCTATTTAAGGATAACATCCCCTGTAAGACACTTAACCACTACTTAGAAACAGCTATTCAGGATGTATTTCTGAGTTTATGTTTTGTTTGGTGATGTCAACTGTATTGTTATGTTTGAAAATAACAGGGTCGACATAGATTATGCAATAGCATGCATTTTAAATGTCATTACCATAGTATATATCATGTTTGGTGTTACACTTGAGAATCCATCTAATCGTTGTGTGTTTTCTGCCTGGAGTAGGCAGATGCAATACAACTACAGAGTTTGATAAAGACACAGTTTTATTTTGAGTGATAGAAGTGCCTATACAGTAGATACACCTCAGGGTTTAGCATACTTGTACCCCCAAAATATCCATTACATTACATTATGTCCATTAAAAAGCAATAAGAGTAAACCTACTCCCTCTGAGTTGTCAGAGTGCATACCGATCACAGATTGTAGAAGACACAGATGAGGTGTGCTGGAGAAAATGGAATTGACAGTAAAGAGAAAACAATTGAGACTTTGGCAATACATAAGCAAAAAGAGAGTCATAGCATTATAAAGCTAACAGGTTAGCCATTCCCTTGTGGCATACAGGAAAGACTTGGTTATGTTGTATATACAGAGCAGACTAACTCACTTAACAGCATACACTATGTATTTCTGTTACACTTTTCTTCTGAACAGAAAATCAATACTGGGTATTTATTTTGCGTAATGTGGTAATTGGCAGCGCCACTACTGTTCCCAATGTGGAGAACACTGAACTCCTGCTAGCGTTGTTTATTATACCTGCTAAAGAGCCACTAATGGCCCACAGACTCCATTGTTGGTGTATTGAAGAGTGGCGGGAAAGGGAGGCGAACTGATTGATTGCTTTCTGTCTCTCTAGCTCTCTGGGGCTTTCTGTCCATTCCTGCTCTCTCTCTGTCTCTCCGACCTCTCTCTCTGTGTTTGTGCATGTGAAAGTATGTTTCAGTGTGTCTGTCTGTGTATGTGTGCACACTGTGATGAAGCCCTGGTTTTAGGGCTGGGTCAATAGTGAAGCCTGGCTAACGCCCGGCAGATAGACGGTTCAGGTTGCAGCAGTTCTGTCCCACAGCAGAATGTGAGCCCCCCTTGGAGCAGTGATCCAAATCCCTGCTTCCTGCTCCGTCCTCAGCCCATTAGCTTGAGCTTGCCTTTCTCCCAAGCTCAGCATTGTCAACAGAATCAGCCAGTGGCTCTGGTTACGCCCTTCTCATGTCTCCTCAAGAGCATCAGTCTGTATACCACGCACTCAGGCTCTAACAGACAGACAGATCAGGCAGACCGACTGCGAGGGAATGTTTTCAGAGAAAGGAAAAAATGAAATGCCAGAGCTGGCCTCACCATCTGGCTCAGAGCTGTAAATACTTGTTATGGTTCAGCACTTCCTTTAAGCAGCCATCGGGAAAAGATTGTATCAGTGAAAGTGTAATGCAATTATCTTCAAGCATATGCCATGATAAATTAGATGTTAGTAAATGATCTTAAAAAAGGGAGTGCAGTAGATCGTAATGTGTGTTATACCAACAAAGAACACAGTCAAACTGAATTTAGCACTGCCAACACCGAGTGTGTGCTGAACTCAATTTGTTCTTGTCACTTGTTGAGCAACAGTTACTCTACACCTTGTGCAATTAGGCTAATTAAACTGTCACTTCTTCAAATGGAAATTGATTTTTGTGCCCCTGTTTATAATATGTAGCCATTTTGTGATTTATTTATTTTTCCATTGTGCAAACCAAATGCATTCTTTTGAGCTTGATCTATGTTTGACTCTTGCTGTTTCATTAGTCGGTTTGAAGTTCAGATCCATCCAGTGATATTAGCACAACACAGAAGCATTGTTGGAATACATGCATCTGTGCCGAGCAGCAAACACTGCCTAATGTATTGCTTTAGTTGTTTCTATTCTCCTGCTATGCCTGACCCCGTGTGAGCAAATTGAACCACAAAATAATGGATTTCAAATTTCAGGTTATGCAAATTAGTTTGATTAAGCACAAGTATAGGCTCGGTCAGAAAGTGGCCATTACTGTCTCTGAGTTTGAAAAAGCTTGCACCGCTGAAATGC